TTTAAGGTGTTCTCAAGTCAGCCAAGAGGTGTAATCCCTCCAGTGTGTCCTCGGTTTGCCTCAGGAAGTCCTCCTGGTTTGACATGCCTGGAACACCTGATCTAGAAGGTACCCTGTAGGCATCCTGGTCAGATGCCCGAACCAGAGTAAACCAACGGGTCTACTCTATATTTCTATATTCTGTCTTTCTCTAACACATCCTCACTCTTCTTCCTTTTCCACTGATAAGTTGTTGGGGGTCATCAAATGTTGACCCTTGCAGCTCCTTCGTGCCCATGAATTGAATATATTTTAAAATGCTCAGTCTCCTGGCTTCACCTGTGTTGACCACAAAGAATCACGTGCATTACATTTCCTCAAATGTAGGAATGACACATTTTTGCCAAAGCAACTGAGATAAAGAGACATGGCGCGCTGGTTTCCTGCCTTATTCCTTTTATTTAGGCTCAGAGCCTATGATGGCAGTGACGGTGATATTAACATTAAATAAATTTTAACATTGTCAACTGTTGAGTATGCAGCAGATAAAAAGGAGACATAAAAGCAATCTAGTGCCTTCGTGCTCTCTGCTTTCCAGAGTTCATCCTGTTCTGTTTGGCTGTCAGTCAGATGTGAAATGGACACGGTGAGCTGTGAAAACACACCCCCCTGGACTCACATCATACAAGAAAATTGCAGTCAGAAATATGGCTCATCTCTCCTCTCCCTTTCCTCCCTTTGTAGGAAATTCCAGATTAAGCAACTATTTTTCTCATTTCCGACATGTGAGTAACTGAGTGAGCAACGACTAGCAGGGTGGGTTGTGTTTGTTTTGTTGTTGTGGCGTTGATAGCGTATGAGTGTGTTTGTGGCTGAAAGAGGAAAAAATGCTGATTAGTTTGCTGTGAACACCATTTAAGATGCAAACAATAATCAGTAAATTTCAGCTGACTATTGAACACGGGCTGAATGTAAAGCTGAACACCATCCAATCTGTGCACCATTGTTTAGCTGAATTATTCCTTCAGGAACGTCACATTCACCTATTTTTACTGTGTTTGTAATCAGTGGTTTTGTGTTGTAATTGCTACAGATTACGGACAATCGGCTTAGCTAGAACGTGCTCAGATGTCCAATGAGCCGGGGGCCAGCTAAAGGTGTTAGTATACTTGTTTGAGCCTGTTGAATTGGCTAGGTGTGTGATTGTGAGCAAAGAAGCAGGGTTATAGGTATTTTCTCTTGAAAAGCTATGCTTTACAGGGCTTCTAAAGTTGACTTTTATATCATTATTTATGCTTTATGGCCTGAAATGCCCCAGTTTTGATTTACACTGGCCATTTTGTTAGGTACAGTTGTTCAACTGCTCATATCTAACCAGCCAACCACATTGCAGCACCATGACCCAAACTCAAAAATATAATTTGTTGCAATCAAGGTATGCAGAAAACCGTCTCTGAACCCACAACACATCAGTTGTGAAGCAAATTGCCCAAAGCAGCAGAAGAGCACACTGGGTGCCGCTCTTGTAAGCTAAGAACGGGAAACTGAGGCTAAAATTAACGCAGGCACGCCAAAATGGACAAACAGAAGATTGAAAAAAAAAAGGCTTCCTGTTTTGACAAGTCTCAATTTCTGCTGTGTGCTGTCAGATGGTAGCGTCAAGCACCATGAAAGCATGAATCCATCCTGCCTTGTATCAGTGGTTCAGGCTGCCGGTGAAGCTATGATGTGGGGGATATTTAGTGGGCACACTTTCAGCTGATTAAAATGAATAAGCGTAGCTGTAGTTGTTGACCATGTCTATCTCTTTATGAGCCCCCAGAAGATTTACCTATCTTCTGATGTCAGAAATCTCAACTAATCTCAAACTGGTTTATTGAACATGTCCAGATGGGCTTTACAGTTACAAGATCTCACTGCAATAGAGCACCTTTGGGATGTGATGGAGGGGAGGTGCATTCTATGCATGATAGAGACATCTGCAGCAACTGTGTGATGCTGTCATGTTAATATGGACCAAAAGATCTGAGGAATGTTTCCAGCGCCTGTGTCATGAAGAATTAAGGCAATGTTGAAGGCAACAGGGGTCCAACCCCATACTAGCAAGGTACTTCAAATCAATGCCTGTATTTTTTTTTTAATAAAGACAGTGATCGTGGAATCGTGGATTTAAAAAAAATGCCTGTGAATACTGCCCAATATGGTGAACAACCCATTCAGGAACATTATGTTTTTAATAATCTATCCTCACGAGTCCCTTATGTGTTTGAAAAAAACCCTAAAACTTCTCGGCTCTTGTAAGTACAAATGGTATGCACTGTATGCTCTTAAGCAGGATGCAGCGGAGGTGGTGTACTCTACCTGGGTCATATTATTTCTCTAATTGCTTTAAGGAAGTGGAGCATTTGATAAAAGACACATTGAACTTTCTCTGTTTTGTTTCAGCCCACTTGTTCAGCACCACTATATTTTTCATGTCTAGTAAATGTTATGTACAAGTACATACGTAAGTCTGGACAGGTCAGAGCGAGAAAAGCATTGCTTACTTTTTAAGCCAGGATTAAGACTCATTATGAATCAGATGAAATAAATTAATATTAATTTTAAAATCTACACTATGTGTCTTATTATAGTCAACACAGGAACAGACACGAGTTCAAATTCAACTTAAAGCTGGATAATACACAGATATCGCATGCAGTAAACTGTAATCTGTCCACAGGAAGTAAGTACTGTTGACAGGAGCGTTGGCTTTCACAGTCTGTCAGGTAATGATACTGACCCTCAAGTGCAATAAGCTTGGACAGGGATCATAAAACGGCAGAAAAGCACATGTTGAAATAGGTGCTTAAAGCTGATAAGGCATCGGCAACTGTGCCAATGAAAGGTTGTTCTTCATGAACAGATGCTTAATGTCACATGTGAGAGCATATTCTCCAAGTATTTTTAGAGGTTTTTTTGTCATTTCCAGTCAAATAGTATGCAAACACTATACAAACAAATAGTATGTACTTTTGTCCTGAGTTGGTGTAATATATTTATGAATCCTAACCTTAACATCAGCTGATAAGTCTGCCTCTTTGGTTTGACATGAAAAAGATTTCAATGGGAATCCAGTCACAAGAAAAAAATGTCTAATGTATCACATTTAGCTGTAGCTATGCTCCACGGTGTATTAGTTTTAAGTAACAGCTGTGAGACTCAGAGATTCCTCCTCTTTCTTTACTATATTTTTAACCCAGGGCTTGTGACTCTGGTATCCTAGCCAAACGTAAAATGGAACTCTAACATGCGCTTCATGTTGCAGAAGCATCATTTCCTAAACTTAACCAAGCAGTTCTGAATAGTAACACAAAACAGTGACTGAAAACAAAAAGAAATGTGACAGAGAAAGAAACTAAAATCTAAAATAATGATACAGCACTGGATACAGACCCCAGACCTTGTAGAACTTGTTAGTTTTTTTTAAGGCAAATCACAATTTTCTTTGATGTAAAAGTGGTATATTTCTCACCAGCAGTAGGGAGTTGATACTGAGTTTTGTTGGGATTGCAGACACTGAGCCCAAAAATAAATTGGCCATCCCCAGAATTTTTCCATGGCCATAAAGTTGATATTTGTTGTCCAGAATGCATGTAGCCATCCATGCATCCATCCATCCATGCATCCATCCATCTATGCATCTATCCATGCATCCATCCATCCATCCATCCATGCATCCATCCATCCATCCATCCATGCATCTATCCATCCATCCATGCATCCATGCATGCATGCATGCATCCATCCATCTATCCATGCATCTATCCATCCATCCATGCATCCATGCATGCATGCATCCATCCATCCATCCATCTATCCATGCATCTATCCATCCATCCATCTATCCATCCTCTTCACCTTATCTGGGGTTCAGGGTTGTGGTTGTGTGCGAGTCTATCCCATCCCATATCTGTCATACACACTGGAGAGTTTGCCAATCTATCACAGATGCAGTAACATGAAAGATGTAACTATGACTACACTGATTTTTTTCTGAAATCATTCTCTCATTCAGTCCTTCTTACTTCTTCTTTAGAGAGTTCAGGGTGTGTTAAAAGCACAATTCATTTAGCCTTTTATCAAAGTGTTTAAAGTGAACAGACGTTTTTTTCCCAAAATGAATACTTTTATGGCTGTTTATGCACTCTTTTCTCTCGTCCATCTGTTATTTCTCTTCCAGTGCCAAGCATGATTGTATACAGTGCTCGGATAGGGATAGTGCGGCCCTCATGGTACACTGCAGATTTACTACTTATTTGCACTACTACTGCTACAGAACTTTGGGTTGCATTAAGTGCGCTATATAAGGAAAAGGAGTAAGAACCATACATATGCAAAACACGAGAAAATGGCAAAGTCACTATCTAATAGCAAGTGAAGAGCAATTTCTGACTCAGATGTTCAAAAAACATCCAAGATTCATGCTCGATAACTCTAAACCTTGATAATTCTTTGACTTTTAAAGTGGTCTCACTAGGATTGCTTTCTTCATTGGCATAATTAAGAGCAGCAAACGTAAACAGCATTTCTTTCAACGGGAGAAACAAAGGTTTTGATCTTTACCAGTCCCGGCAGTCCATCAGTAGATGGAATCCGACTTTTGACATTCATGAAAAGGAAGTAAGAAAGGAGAATTTCCCCTTGTGGTACTCACTCATGTATGATATTATTATTTCATTACCAAGATAAACTAACATGCTGATTTAATCTGGCAGCAACAGCTGCTGCCTGCCCGCTGCAGACTGTTTGCCCTATAAATATCGCACGTTTTCAAGCTGTGATCTAATTACTTATTTGAGGTACAAGTACCACATTTTTGGCTCCTTAATGGGTGCCACAAGATGGACAAACAAGAATGTGAAATCCAGTCAGTTCAGATTCAAGAAGGTCAACTACTATTTTCAGAAAAATGCAGACTTACTTTAGGAGCCAGTAACATTACATCATGGTTGTGTGTGTGTGTGTGTGTGTTTCAACAGGGCTGTAGCATGGGGTGATGAGGACTCTCCTTTGCTAATCTCAATGCAGATGACTAGTGATGGCCACAGCATCACCTCAACAGTAAGTCATAACAATCATAAGCCAAGTATGTTAAGTCCCTGCTAACTTTAGCATGAATTTCACAGTTTGGGGCTTTTTGTGGTTTATTTCAATTGTTCTTTTTCCAGGATAGAATTACTGAATAGCATGCAACTTTAATTACTTTAAAGAACATGAATTGAATGCACAAGTTTGAATATGTTTTGGATTTTTCTCTAATCCGAAGAGGATCAAAAGTATACACAGAGGTTCAAATATATACATACACCTCCACTAATATTTAGTTAAATGTTCCTTAGCAAGCTGCACCGCAACTAGATGCTTCAATATCCACTGGTCAGATGATTGAGCATTATTTCTGGCAGAATTAATAGAGTTCATTTAAATTGTTTTTTATGGCATGGACCTGAGTTTTTAGCACTAATTTTCAGTAGGGTTGAGGTTAGGGCTTTGGGAAAGCTGTTCCAGAAGCTTAATGTTAGCCTCCTTTATGTATTCCCAAGCCAGTGTTGTTGTGGTGAAGTCTAGAGTTTGAAGGTAGTCTTTCCTTTTCATTACTGCATCCACTTTGTGTACCAGTACAACTGGTAGTAAAACATCTCCAGAGCATGATGCTACCACCACCATGCTTGATAGTTGGCACAGTGTTTTTACCTTTACGTCTCCAAACCTGTGGCCAAAAAGCTCAGTTGTTTTCTAGTCTGACCATAAAGCTTTTCCCAAGAATGCATTTCGAACTTGAAGGTGTTCATTTTGGAGCAGGGGCTTCTTTCTTGGTTGGCACTCTGTCAGTCCATTAGTGAAGTAATACCTGTGTTGATCCTGAACATCCTAACCAATTTCCTTTCATTTGAGGGGGGCAGTTTGGGTCTTCTTCCAGACCATGTTTAAAGATGGCTCCAAGAGACCTTCCTAACTTGTGTAAACCTACAATTCTTCTTCTTAGATCTTCACTGACTTTTCCATTGTCAAACAAACGCTTTTTCTGCTGCCAAAAAGAAACTACCAGTTGTTGCACTAATGAGCAGTGTTGGGACTAACGCGTTATTAAGTAACGCGTTACAGTAACTACGCTATTATCGTGGTAACGAGCACGGTAACTAGTTATTATGCCAAAATCAGGAACGCGTTACTCGTTACTGGGATTTAGATAGGGTCGTTACTCGTTACTTCGTGTGGTGGCTATCGCGGAGCTTCCACAGATTCAATAACATTAGCAAGTGGTGGAGGCCAGCAGGTGGATGAAGGAAAAGGGAGGCAAGAGGAGAGACCCGAAGCGGCCGCTGGTCCGAGAGTGTCAGGTGAACTGAACTTCAGGTAAGAAGTTATGACCTGCAGTCTCTCTGGGTCAGATATGAACCAAGTTTAGGTGGAGTTTATTTTCGTTATGCTGACTTTTTCGTACTGCGTGCTAGCTAGCATGACGGAGTTTCTATACAGCTGGGTGGTGCTATGTTACTGATGTTGAACTTTATTTTGTTCATAAGGTTAATTATTAGAGTTGCCAACCGTCCGTAAAAAACGGAATCGTCTCGTATTCAGAGAAAATATTACGCGTTTCTTATTGAGGTGAAAAGGAACAGTTTGTCCCGGACTTCAGCTACAATGAAAAAGACACAAAGCTGGAGTTATTCTGTGTTTACGCTGCACAGCTGCCTCTTCTTCTCTCATCCTCTCCCCCTCCCTCTCCTGTTTCTACTTCAATCATGAAACTGATCAATGATCAGCTGATCGGCTTTTCTCTCTTGTTTATTTATCGCCCACTTTGCGCCAGAAAGAGGAAACCAGCGGATGTCGCGGTAAACAACAGCAGCACGTTTAAGCTTGATCAGCTGTTGTTAGAATTTATTTAATATTAATTTCTAGTATCAGCTGATGTTTGCTGGAGCCACAGCTGTAAAGCTGCTGGTCATGATATCGGTTTGGTTATGTGGTGAGAGGGAAACATGAAGATGAAACCAGGAGATGTCCTTACTGAATCATCAGAGCTGTGATGGAGAAACAGGTTTACCTTTTAGGTGACATGAATGAGTTGAAGGGAAGTTATGAACTGTTTCTGAGAGACAAATAACACCAGGATCCTTTTTTATAGTAGCTGACAGCTGGTAACTGTGCAGGGGCGGGTCTAGCAAAGTGTTGCCAGGGGCGGCATGTAGGGCATTAAAGGGAAAGGGGGCACAAGAGAAATACTTTCTTTATTCTCATTTAAAATGTCTCACTTTTAAAAAATAATTATCTGAATCTTACAACAAACGATTGATAGATTGATCATATATACCATCAGAACAGTGTACATCACTGTCACAACAGTGTTTATTTTCATTCAAAGGCTTTATGATTTTTCCTATAATGGTGGGCCGGTCTCTAGTCAAAATGCCCGGGAGATTTTTTTGTCCCAGTCCAGCCCTGTATGCAGCTCATCTGCAGTCTGGTGTTCCTACATCTTCCTATTCAGAAGGCAGAATTTCCGAGTTCTGAGTACAATCGAAAGCACCACGACTGCAGTTTTTGTGTTGGATGTAAAAAGCAGGCTAGGATAGAATCAGGCGTGGGATTTCTCTCGTGGAAATGTGCACATTATTTTTTCCTTTCTATTGGTAGGTGGCACAGTGCACTTGTGGCAAGTAAGCAAGCTAGAAGACTGGCAAAGTTATGGAAGCAACACATTAACAAGAGAATTCTGAGTAAAACCAAAGTTACTTTCCCTAGTAACTAGTTACTTTGAAAGTAACGAGTAACTTGAAGTAACTGAGTTACTTTTGATAGAAGTAACTAGTAATGTAACTAAGATACTAATTTAAAGTAACTTACCCAACACTGCTAATGAGAAGTATTTAATAGGCCTTGGCTTTGTGAAGTTAAAAAACAATGTAGGAACTTCACTCATTACAACATCACTTATTAAAAGATTTAATTGCGAGTATGTATAATTTTGACCCTGTGTGGATTCAAGAAAGTACTAAATAAATTCAAATTTGTTGAAGTCATTAAAGATGTATGCTGTACCATCTTTACGCACTGGAAAAAAAACAGTGCCTCTGTGATTAATACAATTTGATTCTGGTTCTGATTATCTGAATTGTCATGACAACCATGAGTGATTATAACCTTCTGATCACACTTACAGGTGTCAGCCCAACTATAATTACACAGTGTGCTAAATGAAAGCACCCCACAGCCATTTGATTGATTTTTTTTTTAATTTTCTGAGGGAACATGCACAAAAAGAAACATTTATCACATTTGGGGAAAAAATGTCTCGTCCCAGCTTAAGCTGTTAGCTGATTTTCATCTGCATTGTCTTGGTAGCTACATATAATATCAGTTGACCCATAAAATTCAGATACATGTCAGAGAGACAACATACAAGTAACATAATATAAAATAATCAAATTTGCATGCAAAGATAAACTAAAATAAATCTATCCATACCCATTGTAAAACTTACATCATGCATATCCCATTCAATAACCAGACTATAGCATATGCAACTAATAACTGATTTATTGGTCGGTTACTTGTTTTATTTTTCTCTTGCAGTTTGTTGGATGATATAAAAAACTCTGAAGAACAACAGCCAGGCCAACAGGAGCAGCAGGAATTCTTGAGCTCCCTGGAGACCATCGCTCTCTCTATCTTTCTCTCGCTCATCATTATCATGACAGTTTTTGGCAACCTGTTGGTCATGGTGGCGCTCTGCAAGGACCGACACTTGCGGTGAGCACTGTCGTCTTTCTCAGCAGCAGCTGTGTTTTTTGTGACTTCAGCAGAGAAGAAGGTTTAAATCTTCTGTCTGCAAATGCTCCCTAAAATCTTTTTTGAGAACGTCCAGAAAAGCCAAAATAAAAATCAAGTAATCTTAAAAATAAATACAATAAACCTGACATAATGTAGCAAAGTTTTTTTGAGTGAGATAATGACTTTCAGAATTTCTTTTTCCGTCTTTTAAAATTAAACCAGCATTTGAAGATCTGTTTTTTCTCAAACTACATGGTTCTCATTTTGGCAGTAATATTTAAACAAACCCATCAAATGTCAGAGCACTCAAATTTCATTCAGCCTGTCATGACAAACCCCGTCAGGTAGACAGAAAGATGGGCATTAATTTGTTTTGACATTTGGTAACTTCCCCAAAAATACATTTTTTGGATCTGTGCCTCAAAAGTTTTGAGACCTTATTAAAGACCTTTATTTAAGATAGACTTTACTGCAGGAATGGAAGTTAATACTATTTATTTATAAAACTATACTCAAAAACATGCCTGTCTTTCATATTTTTACAGAGTTGCGCCGACTAAGCCGCTTCCCTTTTTAAAGACAGAACATTTAGAGTAAATCAAACTTTTTCTGGATCTTTTTTTTCTCCAACTTCTATATGGTTGTCTTCTTCTCCCAGAAAGAAAAAGACAAACTACTTTATTGTCTCGCTGGCGTTTGCTGACTTGCTGGTTGCTCTGGTTGTGATGCCCTTTGCTGCCATCGAACTGACCACTGGCCAGTGGCGCTATGGAGAGATTTTCTGCCTGGTGCGAACATCTCTGGACGTCCTGTTGACCACAGCATCCATCCTGCACCTCTGCTGCATTGCACTGGATAGGTTTGTGTTTGTGTAAAAAAGGCATATATTGATGGCACAATGTGTTTCCCCACTGAAAACATTTTTTTAAAAATAGGGTTTGGTTTAATGTTGAAGACAGTCAGTTACTTACGTTGCACACCTAACAAATGATCCGTCTGTATTTTTCTACCACTTATTTGGGTCGTAGGGGCTGCTCTCTAAGCAGGTACCCCAGACTTTCCTCTCTTCATCCAGAGCCTCCCGCTCTTTGAGAAGAATACAAAAAATTATCAAACTGGCAGAGACCTAATCTTTCGTGTGTGTCCAGGAGCGGAGCAGGTCGGCCCTCGGGTTGTCCTCTTGGTAGGACATGCCCATGCAGTGCTGTTTGTAGATTTCAAACAGAGAATAATCATTTCTACTATTCTCACAATCCTCTTCAGCTTATGGCTATCCTCAGACCTGCTGTTTGCAAACCAAGAAGTGATCCAGTATGTAATAATGTTTTTGATGGCCCATCTGTATGAGACTGTCAGTGCTGAAGTGAGGAGGTCCGCTGTCTTCCTTCTGCAGAGGAGGGAGAGAAGCTGCTGTGCCTTCTTGATGACAGCTGTGGTGTTGTCGCTGGAGGTCAGCCCTCCAAAACTCAATGCCCTTTACCCTCTTTACCGCAAATTCGCTGACTGTCAGTGGTGGGAGATAACTGAAGGTAGCCCTCCTAAAATCTATGAGATCTCAGCAAAGGCTTCTGATGTCCCTTAGAGAGTCACAAACAAAAATACGACTTTGACAGGCAAACCTAGCTGTTGCCTTATATTGCCTTTACTGGTGTAAGCAGATCCTGCAGCAAGCATTGGTCATGCCACCATGTTGAACCTAGTATTTCTGTCAGAAAAAGTGAACAGAATCAGCTATGAAGAGCAGCCAAACAGTTTAATATCACAAAAAGTCAGTAAGGTTTCCTACAAAAGTAGGAAAAAGTCTGATTTATTTCACAGCAATGGCTGCACTACCGTCATACAGGGATCAAATAAGCCAGAATAGAGTATGGGCCCAATACCCCATACCTCTGAAGCACAACCTCCCATTCATTTTTAAATCTGTATGTTAGTGTAAAGTATGTGTGTGCCAGTGTCTGTGTCTTATTTCAGGTATTATGCCATCTGCTGCCAGCCATTGGTGTATCGACACAAGATGACCCCGATGAGAGTGGCAGTCATGCTCAGTGGCTGTTGGCTCATTCCCACATTTATCTCATTTCTACCCATCATGCAAAGCTGGAACGCCATCGGGATCGAGGATATTGTAAGTCCTCATTAGCTCAGATCAGAAACCATCACTAATGAGATCAAAACAAGTGGCTACATAGTTCTAATGCTTACATTTCTTTACTACGACCCTTGAATCAAACCACACAGACAGTATGTTTAAACAAAGTATCACAAAGAAAAGTTCATACCGCTCTCAAATGCCTAAAGAGAGGTATGTTCTTTCTTTGAGGGCAAAAGCGGCATTAACCTCTCCAGTCTAATATTCTTTGTTTCTAATAACATTTTCAATCCCTGAAACAATGGCACAGTAAAAGAATGATCACAAAACAATTCCAGTCCCTGTGGAAGCTTTCTCGCTGCGAGCAAAGACAGCACTTCAACAAGCATTTTCTTCTGGTTTAGGTATGTTCTGGCATGAGCTTGTTTCAGAGCTGCCTTGAAATGAGCAGCAGGACTCCCAGAGGCAGGCAGGGACAGATGAATTTATTCATCCAGACTTAATGAAAAGCTCTTTTCGCTTATCTTTCTGTCTGGCAGCGTACAAAGCCAGTGTTACTTTTTTAATGGCTGTCTCGATGGCTAGAAGTCATACACGGTATACAAAATTGCATAGGATTATTTTAAATGCTGTCTGTGTGTGTGCCGATGTGTTTTTCATTACGCTTCTGTTCTGTTTCAGAGGGATTGTTTGAAACTGAAATTTCTTCTCACTAAGCACAAGCTAAACCAAACAGTATTTGTCTGGTTGGTTTTAAAGGTGTCTGCTCAGGGATAGTGATCTGAAACTGATCTCTGTCTTGAAATGCTCAATTTGGGAGATACCGTCTGCAGCAAAGTTTTCTGTCAGTAGAATAAAATCTAATTAAATTGAGCTGGCCAAGTTGATTTCAGATAGAAATTTACCTTAGGGACTGGTTATCACCGTGGTCTATGCCATAAGCTACACGGAGCTTATACCTCAAGCACTTCTATGGAATATTAAACAACTCCCGAGCAGAGACAAACCAGATAACTGGGCAATGTGGCAGAAAGCTGGAAGTACTTATATTATTAATTTATTTGACATCAACTAGTAGAAATCTGTAAATTATTACAGTTCTAGAGGTTTGTCCAAATGAGTAGTGCTCTGTTTAAACGGTTGGGCCGTCCTTTCAACTATTCCACAGGTAGTCCACTCAAACAGCTACTAAAAAAATTACAATCAGGCAAAGGAAGCACTTCCAAAATTTAGAATTAATTCCAGGATTCACATATCTCAGGTATGCGACCCTTTGCTCGAAGCTAAGAGGCAATGGATAGAGGATCTCTCAGTGCATATATCTGCCGATGGTCTGCATAATATTGAGGCATTGTACAAAGAAATGTATAATAAATGTATACGGCTGAAAATAAAACACAGTTGGCAACAGACAGCAAAACAATTACACAGATGAAAGTTACCTTTTGTGGACTTTTGCTGTAAGTGTGAGGCTCCTGTTCTGCATGTACTTGGACTTGTTGCAATCACAAGGCTGGAGGAATAATATCAAAAAGGCTAATTTTTTAAAGTATTAAAATAAAAATTTCACATCTCCGCAAAGTCAAGATTCAACTTCAAGACTCTGACATCTCATCCTTTGAAAAAAGCTAGATTATTCTGGCTCTTATCGCGACTAAGTGACACTGTGGGAGTAAGCACCCACCTCCATATGGAGAATGGACAACAACAGCGGCACAGTTGGCTGTCTGTGACACGGTTACTTACAGTTTATTCAGTAGGCTTTGTGAATACATGTTTACCATGTGGCTGTTGTCAGCTTAAAGAACTTTTTGGTTACCTAGTAAATGTAACACAAAGATGAACGTCACATTCAATAATTAGGGAGGAAATCGATGTGATGGACTTCCTTTCTTTACTTTCTTTTGATAATTATGTAAGTGTGAAGCTTTGATTAAACCTAAATCTTTTTCCAATTAACACCCAGTTGCTCAAAAAGTATACAAACCTTATTGTGTGTAGTTTCATTTACAGGTAGGAACGATTATTGTTTTCATTTTTCACCAAACTATCAAATCAGAAACGTGTGACAAGAGGCTCGTGCTTCTTCCATCATTACTGAAATCTCCCCTCAGCTGAGTTTCTGCTAACTCTTGGATGTAGACAGTAGAAAGAATAATTATTCCTACATTAAACAGCTCACAACTGCAATTGTAGCAAGGTTGTCTTTTTTGGATAGAGACATTGCTATTTAGCTTTTCAAATGCATTATTTTGGCACTTTAAACACTAAAAGTCCATTAAGAGTGCATTTTCAATTCAAGATGAGTCACACATTACTTTTTGTTCTGCTTTGACGATAGTTTGGTTTTATTCTAGTGTCCCAGGGTGCAGCATTACCTTACTGCACCCAAATGCTACATAGAGGGATGAGATAAAATTAATCTTTCAGCTCAAGGCAATTCTCCGCCTGCACATTTTTAATTTACTTTGACCTACTCATGGTTTATATAGAGGACAAAGATATGGGCAACTGGCCAGACAAAGGATATTCCAAAGTACTTTATTATTACAATATGTAGCATTTACCTCTTTCTTTAGCCCGCCTTAACTAAAAGGCAGGAAGCAGAGGGAAACAGCTGGCCTAAGTCTTTCCATAGTCCCAGGTTTTTTTTTTAATGTTTTTGTTTTTTGTTAAGTTAAACTAATCCCCTCCTGGGAGCCCCATATTTCACTTGTTTTTCCTTCCTGTGTCTTCTCTCTTTGCAGATTGAAGAGCGGCGAGCCTTGGCGGGAGGCTCGAACGACACAAGTTGTGTGTTTCTAGTTAACCGGCCGTACGCCCTGATCTGCTCTGCAGTGGCCTTCTACGTGCCGCTGGGCCTCATGGTCCTAGCCTACCAGCGTATCTATGTTACTGCCATGACCCACGTGCGGCAGATAGAGACACTTCAACGTGCCGGCTCTGCTCCGGTCACCGGCACAATTCCAGTCATTACCGTGAGGACATCCACTTCCTCAGATCCTTTGGAGCATTACCGCCTTAGGACACCAACAGGTTCCTCCTCCTCAGAGCAGGCTCCTGTAGGTCACAGCCGCATGCGCATTGAGACCAAGGCAGCAAAGACGCTGGCGGTTATAATGGGTTGTTTCTGCCTGTGCTGGGCTCCATTCTTTATCACCAACATAGTGGACCCTTTCATCCACTACTCGGTACCCTGGCAGCTGTGGACAGCCTGGTTGTGGCTTGGGTACATTAACTCAGGGCTAAACCCTTTCCTGTACGCCTTCCTAAACCGGGCTTTTCGGAGGGCGTTTCTGGTCATTCTCTGCTGCGGGGATGAGCGGTACGCACGGCAGGGGAGCTGCTCCTATGGACCAACCCACAGAGCATGCTCAGCTGCATCAGTCAATGGGACATCCATGGCACTGAGGTAAACACACAGGCAGGCACAAGTCACATTTGTACCAGTCTATCTATAACCAGTGGCCTAAGACATATTTGATCATGTAAGACTGATGGCAGACGTCCTTTAATGTTAATGTGAAGGGAAGTAATTTCAGTGAGTGAAGGGGTGTAAGTGGATCTGAGTGAGAGAGTGTATGTTTTTTTTGCTCAGCGATCAAGGCTTTGATTGTCCACAATAAACAAGAACCTGTTTCAGGTTAACATTAAGGTCACATTTGTCATTTTTCAGGGCAATAACTTGTGGATTGTAATAAATACCTAAGCCGGATGCGCTACTGCGTCACTGATGTTCTGTTTTTGTCCTCACTGATTCAAAAAGAAATGAAGGCCTTGGGCAAGAATGAACTTTAATTTGTCATTTCCCGCGAAAAGACCTACACCTAAACCTTTCTGTGTCATCTGACTGAAAGATTGTTTGTTTTCCTTAGTCTTTGCCTGAAAAAAACTGAGACGAGGACGACACACTGGACTTTTATTAGTTCATTACTCCATCTATTTGACACACCAAAAAGATAATTTTTAATGTTTTTAATTAACTAGCAGCTGTTAAGAAGAAGAAGAAGAAGAAGAAGAAGAAGAAGAAGAAGACCAGCAGATTAAAGATGTTCATCATCTTGAAAAGTGGAAAACTGGAATTGTCCCTTTGTTGACCTCCTCGGAGTGATCAGTTGCAATTAAGAAACACAGTTATGGTCCTACATGACACAGAAGAGACACTCACATCAGTCCCTGATGAATGTCAGGGACATTTTGAACATTTTGGACGATTACCTCAGTGCCCTTCACAAGAGAAATTTATTGCCACTAAGTCTCATTTGGAGTGTTATACTCGTGCACCTGGACGAAGATAATCCTGTGGCCTATTGTGAGCTGCCAAACTTTATTTTGTTGCATTATGTTGAGCCACATAACTCCTGCAGTTTTATGAAGGTAAAACAGAACTGCATCGCAAATCTGTAGAAGAGGGGGAACATAGTGAGTGTAGTTTGACATTGCTTCATGGAGCTGTGGAGGGAGAGAGGGAGTGCCAGCCAAGGACTTTAATCTGAGCAGTAAGAAGAAAAGTGGAGAAATCGCACTAATTGTGATAGAAAAGGGTTGTAGCTGCAGACATGTAACTGTGGGGAAGATTTTCATGGTCCGAATATTGCTAGCTGGCAAGGTATTACTCACTGAGGGAAATGGACATTTCTGTTGCTGTTTGAATCCAGTTTTATTCATCACACTGTTTGGACTCCTGCATCAGCTGACACAGAGATCATCCAAAGGACTGTGGCTGAATGAGCATGGACAAAAATGGATCTTGGTCACCCTTTGCACCACTTGCTGGACAAGCAGCTGAAGGCTTTCTCTAACATCTGTTTCAGCTTTACCACCACAAGGATAAAACACAATTCCACATACCACAATCCATGTATCCACTGTGGATTTAAGCTCCTGAGTAAATCACATTTACATTTTGATTTATTGAGTGATTGTTTTGCACTGTGATATTTATTTAATCACAGTTCTTTTTCACATTTTGAGTACTGTAGCATTTCCCAACTTTGGGGATAAATAAGGTATTTCTTATTGGATCATATATCATTTTATCACATACTGTGTGCAGCTAGTTGCTATCCTAGGCTCACATTTGTGATAAAATGAATTGAATAATCATCCCTTCTTTTAATCCCTTGTTTTCTGATCATGAGATGTGTCAGATGCTTTTCATGGAACCGTTGGGAAATTTTGAAAGAGAACATTCAGACTTTGACCCACACTTGCACTTGTGCTGTATTTCTGCAGAAACTTCTTTAACGTTTAATCATGCCGTTTAATGCAGCACGTGCACAGCAGCAGCTGGGGAGAATGATGAGGAGATAAACTTGTATGGACAGCAATAACAGAATGTAGCAACAGCGATATGAAGATCAGCCATTGTGTTTTTTCTCTTGGTAGTCACTGAAATAGAATTTACCACTAAAAGTTTTTTATTTGTAGTTTTTATTCATCATAAAGTGTAGTAAATAGAAAAAACTAGAGTCAAATCAATATTTACTGTGACTCACCTGCTGGTGTTAGTAAATTACAAGTTGTCCTTAATGTCTCCATCACAATAGCCTAAAAGTAGGATGACAACCACTCATTGATTTTTTTTTTTCTTTTAATGATCACAATTAGTTTCAGTGATCGGTTTTGAGCCCAAAGAAATTGCAGTCTGACTGCAGTCACTCTCAGACAGATTGACGAAGGCTTGCGAATAATTGGCTTCCAATTTATGCAAAGCCTTTTGTCAATCTTTTTGCTGTCCTGCAAAAGGACATCACTATTTTTGGAGGAATTTCTATTTCAAATCTATGATTTGACCCGGCTATACTCTGAATATATTCTGGCTATACTGTGAATATATTAGTTCATGTAAATTTCTATAGAAGGCCAAATCTTTGCAGGTTGAATTTAATTACCAACTTCAGCTAATTCAGTGGTAAAATGAGAGCAGGTAGACTCCATTTCTGTCACTGTCTTGATGCGCTAAAGTTGCTTTGACTATAGCATTTTGCACTTGGACAGTTCTTAAGATACTTGGCAGGCAGGTTACTTCAAGCATCTTGGAGAATTTCTCTCACTGTCTTCTTCATGTAATCTGAGACGGAGTCAGGCAATAGAGGCTCCCAGGGGACCAAACCATCTTCCTGTTGCTGGAGAATTTGTCTGGGTTTTGTTTAGGCAAACTAGCACCAATCTAACATGGTGAACTTTGTAAGTATTAAATTATAGAAAAGTGGAGCAAAAAGCACCCTTCAAAGAGCAGCTAAAATGCCCAAATCTGGCTAAATCTTGGTTCTTAGTGGTTAAATAGCACGGACTGTGGACAGTTTCATATTTGTCTTTTTTACAGATTGGATCTTCAATGTAATTATAATATATAATAACACTAAAAGTCCAGAAGGCTTTTCACACCAGGACATCTGTTGATGTTATGGTGATGATTTAGTTGACGGCTGTGTTTGTGCTCTCAGCTTCCGCGAGCTGGGAGAAAGATGGAGGAGACCTGCTTGTGTCTGCACTGTTTAACTCTAATACAAGTACTACACTGCTGAAGAGAAACAGTGAGAGTGTGTGTGCACTCATGCACACGTGTGACAAATGAATTCATACAAAATACATGCAAGCACAGGCAGTCACACCTTCTGAACGTGTCGAGAAACCTTCTGCGTGTGCATCATCTGTGCGTGTCTGTTATATGAAATAAGAAAAATGAAACACGCTTTCCTGATATCTCAGCTTATGGCATACTAGTTTTAGCTGTCACGTGTTTCCATGGATTTCTGCACGTCGGTGTGTAGGAAACAGAAAGGCAAACAGTGTTAACTCCAATCTGATGTCCTGTCTTAAATCTGTCTCCGATGGAAAACAGACTCGGACAATCAGATTAAGGCCGGCAGGATACTAGAAGCTGAAATTACTGGAGAAATCCTGTCGAATCTCATTTTTATTTCAGTGAGATGACGGCCTTTAAGGAAACTGTTTTTCAAAGTTACATTTAAGTGTCCTCTGCCTTTTTAAAATGTCTTTGTCCATGTGTGATGGCACATATGGAAAATGTTGGCAGAGTAGTAGGATATGAATCCAATGGAAAGCAGAATTGCTTTACAACAGATTCTAACATTGGTATTTCTTTGCTTTGGCCTGCTTTTAATGACATGCTTTATATTTTAAACACTTTAAACTGTTTGTTGTTGTGAATTGGTGCCATAAAAATCAAACTGACTTGAATTGAATTGGTGTTATTTAGAATACAGTCCATTCTTTTCTTACTTTGCCTAATTACTTTCTCCACCAGTCATTTTTTTAAATGTGCCACCGTCTTTTGTTTTTCTAAAATTGAAAACAAAAAAACAACAAAAAAAACATCCTAACAATTAATATTTCGTGCATATTTTTTGGTCATTTGGATTTTCCCTTACCCAGTATTTTTGTCCATCAGTAATGCTTTAAATACTTCTGTAGAAAGAATAAAGTTACGTTGAAACCAAGCACACCATTGTTTTGCTTGTGACATTACGAATAAGTTTGATGTGTCACATGGCCCTCTTCCTATTAAAAAAACAAAAGTTGTATCCAAGATGGCCGACTTCTAATTGGCAACCATGGTCACCACCCATCTTGAGGAGTTTGCCCCCTCACATATACTAATGTGCCACAAACAGGACTTTAATATCACCAACCATTCCCATTTTATTACGGTGTATCCATATAAATGACCCACCCTGTGGAGACAAAAGCATCTGGAGATTTGAAACAGGTTAAAAATGTTGAGTTGCTCCTTGTCTTGTGTCCTTGCGCCAGTATGGTGTTTACAGCATTTTATAAAGTATGTCTTTCTATAGACACACAATATGGACACGAGTATTGGGCCACAGTCCCATTACCACGGCTCCTTGCCATGCAGTTGGGAATGAATGGGTTGTTCTAAAAACTGTGCACTAGGAGAATCGTGGCATGGGTTTCCTTGGATGAGCTGTTCCTGCTTTTATTTCCACAATTTTGCTTATATAGTATAATTTAAGTGTTGTTTTATCTTATATTCATTCGGCCGGCACATCAGTTGTCACAGCCAGATGACAGTTAACTTGAGCTAGCATAGCACGAGTGGATGCAGCTAAGCAGTCTGTTTTCAAGGACAGATTAACTGTCAGAACAGAAATTATTATTATTAATAATAAGTAATAGTTTTACTAGAAGTACGTATTTGAAATATATATATATATATATATATATTGCATAGATATATTTGATTATTCAGTGTTTGTAGTTAAATTGTTATGGTAAGCAATTTTTTTTAGCATATCACATACTAGCTTCTTCTTATTATTATTATTCTTTCAACTTCAGGGGCCACCACAATGGGTCATGTGCCTCCATTTCACTGCATCCCTAGCATCCTGTCACACCAACCCTCTGCATGTCCTCTCTTCCCTC